CAGCCCACTGGGCTGTAGTCCACGAAAGCTTATGCTCTAATAAATTTGTTAGTCTCTAAGGTGCCACAAGTCCTCCTGTTCTTCTTTTTGCGGATACAGACTAACACGGCTGCTACTCTGAAAAGTTACTTCTTGTAACCTTTTTAGCTGACATCTCTTTTTGGCCTGCAGCCCATCACAAAATCTGCAGCAGGATTAAAAATATTTCCTGCCCGTTGTGTAAAACTGGGGTTCAGTGAACAGATTCCTCCATTTTGCCACCTTCATCCCTCTTTCAATACATGCACGCACACACATAAACACCATTGCTTTTGATATCTTTACAATGTACATTTCCCAATATTTCTGGCCTAAAGGCAAATGATGTAAATAGAAAATCAAATCCTTCTGATGGGTCTGATGCCTGAAGTTTTTTCTCATAGAAACAGCTGGGATAGAAGACTTTCCCGGGGTTTTGGTAATTATTGGCCGTTACTGCAAATTTATAAGTGCAGCAATAAAGAATATTTGAAACTAGAGACTGGGAGAGCGGTTGCTCATTGCTTGGCTTCCTGTGGATGCAATCAGAGATGACATATTACGGCAGCTGTGGTTCAGGTTCTGTTTTGCTATTTTAGTGTTTTACATAAAGTAACAAGTTTACACTAGTCTGTCAAATTTCATTTCTTTACCTGTTCCTTGATGCAATTTGTTTGTTTTTTCTTGAAGTCACAAAATGGAAAGAGGATTATAGAAATTCAGAGAGACAATGACTGTGCAAGGAAAACATTATGGGCCTTATTCAATTACAGCAAGATTCAAAACTCCATGAAGTCAGTGAAATCTTTCTATTGACATCCACGGTCTTTGGATCAGGACCTTAGAGATGACAAAACACAGGCTGGGTGAGCAATGGGAGAAGGAGGAAGCACAAGTTCACCATTTGCAAGACAGTCTTGGTGTTATTGACCTTGAGGGGGATGGCATGAATTCTGTTCTAGCTAGAGAAAAATGGTTCTTGTGCTAGAAATGATTAGAGGAGAGGTTATTTGGAAAAACAAAAGGCTGAATGAGGAGATGAGGAATAGCTTGGGTTATGCTGTAACATATACAGAGGTAACCTAACAATTACAGGGCCCATGGTCCCCTAATGTGGGCTGATCTTGCCTGAAGACCAAAATCTCTGTGGTTCTTCTGTTGAGTTTCCTGTACATTCCTCCATTCAGCGTGAATGTTTCCTCACCCATCACTTCCCACAGAAACAGCAGAAGATTTGGCTTGCAAAACGCAAGATGCTCTGGTTTTTGCAAAGGCTCAAGTCTACCCCCACACTAGCTTTTGGTCCTTCCCTCTCTTCCTGGGCATGGAGGTTTGGGGAAGGTGGGCAAATTAATGCTGACTCCAGGCCTGATTCAAAATCCATTGAAATCAGTAGAAACATTCCCACAGACTTGGATAAGATCTTGAATAAACATTTACTTATCCCCTGAAATTCTGTGCTGCCATCCTTGGACTGTCATCCACACACAATTAGTTCCCAAATCCCTATAGAGAGACTTCTTCAGAGTGTGTCACAGAGATGGAACTTCCCTCTTCTGTATCCCTAGGGCCAAGATCCACTGGTCCCTTTATCCTGTGCTCATGAAAGTGAATGGTATGATATGACCCTCTTTTACTGTGATGCATTCTGAAAATTTTGCACTGGTATCAACCTTGCCAACACTGGGGGGAAAAAATCTGCAGGTGGATTTTTCAAAACCACCTGAGTGACTTTGGAGCACGTTGAGAGTCACTGAGACTTCTGCTCCCGGGCACTCTTGAAAACCTCACCCTTCAAGTATACCAGGCTACATGTGATGTACATGGGAAAATATATTCCCCCATAATCTGGATACTTTATAAAATTATGCTTTCTTTCTAATTTCAGACTACAGAACACAAACCTGGAAGCAGGCTGTGTTTTCTTGAAGCTTTTAGAATTTTCCAGAAAACTTTGAAACAATTTTGTTGCTGAACTATTTTGGTGGTTTTTTAAAATTAAAATAGATGAATGTACATACTGTCTTTTTGTTGAGGTTATACATCTTACACATGTGGGCTGTGATTTTCAAAAGAAGTAGGCATCCAACTCTCAAGGGTTCTAACACCAGGGTGCTTAATTTGTAATGAAAGAGGTGCTGGGGCTCAAGCAATTATGTCCTAGGGCTCAAGTAAATTTTTTTTACAGTCATAACAATGCAGCAAGCCCAGAAGTGCCAGCGCTATGAACTGCCAAGCCTACAGGTGCTGGGACTCGGCCCTCGAAATCCCTGGCACAATTTAAGCACTGCCTAACTCCTTTAAACTCTTTTGAAAATCTCAGCCTCTGAGCTGAATATATCTCTAAGTACTCAAACTCTTGGAAATGCATTACGTTTTGTTTAATCTTTTCATCATATCGTCTCTACTTTCATAAATTTTAAGGTCAGAAAGGGCTATTATGATCTAGTCTGACCTCCTGCATAACACCTGAACACAGGCACAGAGAGGTAAAATACCTTCACAGCAGGTGGACAGGCAAGCAGGGAATAGACATGTCTCCTGACACCCAACACTGTATTCCATCCGCCAAACCATGCCGCGTCTCTCTGTACCTCTTTGTTGGTCTCTCTCGCGTTCCCTCTCTCATTTTGCTAGACCACTTCCCTTGTCTGTTGTCAGGCCCCAGTACCTCTTTCACTGCATTATTAGATTACATTCATTCAGCTACATTCTCTCTCCCCCTGTCTTTATCAGCCACCTCTCTCCCCGTTGATGGTCTCTTTCCCCCTTCAACCATTTCACACTTTGTTAAGCTGTTTCCTCTTCTTTGTCTTAACAAAAGGGTTTTCCTGCATGTAATGTTCAAGTGTCTGAGTTGGTTCAAAATGCCTTAAATATAATTCATTCTTGCCACCCTCAGAAGCAACCCATTGGTAACTATTCTGGATCAAGAGCCTGGCTGTTGAGTAGCAATAAAGAGCAACGGTACTTTACACAGGGTGCCAACTGGAATAAAAGAAGAGCTGCTTAGAAGGTCTTTGTTTCTGAGCTTGGGAGGTTGAATTTTGCAGGTCATATTTCTTGACAAATAAGTTGAAGGTGAGAAAAACTATCACAAGATGAAGAGAACGATGGATGCAATGGAAGAATTAAAGTCTCAAGCACAAGCAAATTGACAACATGTAAAAGGCAGATTAGTGCAGTGAAAGCACTTCACCTGGAGCAAGTAAGTATTGTATGTAATAGTAAATATAAATGTCAAGAGCCTCATTGCTTGAAATAATTTGTGTCAGTCCCATACATTTGCACAGGATACTTTATTCTGTACAAAGACTACATAAAAATCTTTAAATTATTCCCCTTTCTGCAGTAATAATAATAATAATATCACCACAATATTAGCGTTCATTTCATAAGAATAATTAGCAAATCATAACACTCCTTACTCCTGGTTGCAACCTACAACTTGAACTATCACAGACTGATTAAGCAACGCTTCCCCCACTACAGCGAATGCAGTTTGCCCTTCCAAAGATGGAGGTACAGTATTTCACATTTATTGCTTTCAGCTATATGGTATTAAAAATTAGACATTTAAAACTCTGGCTAAGGCAACAGACATGTAGCTTATATGTTTAATAGGCAGTAAATGTTTCCTTTGTATTATCAAAACATTTGCAAAGCAGGTGATTTTCAGAAAGGAACTAAATCAACAATGCCAGCTAATCCTGAATCAAGGCTTGTGAGCTGAACCAATGAGCCAAAACAACAGTCGATTGCAACATAGTTTTAAATATATGAAAGAACATTTGGAAATCGTCCAATTAATTTCCTGAGGAACTGAGGGAGTGAAGAAATCTTTTATATTTTCCTTTGTGCTTACAGAACATAATGTCTCCCTATGGAACACTGCACAGCATCTACTGCCCTCACTAACCTATGTTGGCTGTATTTCACAGCTGTCAGACTAAAATTAACACTAGAGCTTTCTATGCTGGGTCATCTTATCTGAACTGGGCTTCCCTTTGCCACAAGATTAGCAGGAACTGCTTGAAACTAATCTATCCAAAGCTAGAGATCTGATAGGCCAGGTTAAAGGTGAAGTATTTCCTTACATTTAATGTGTGGCCACCTGAACAATATATAGGGCTCTATTCATAGAAACAAGTTTCAGATCATTTTTGAGAGACCTCTGCATAGTTTACATGGAGTATTACTTACATGCTTTAGGAGCCACATAGTCTTGGAATGTTGCTGCCTCAATCCTCCTCTTGGTCCTGTTGTAGATAAAAGAATTGCCTTATCTTCCCCCTGAAGGCTATTGATGCTGCTTTACAAATTTGAAGAGACTGTCATCAAAAAACAAACAACGATATGGTTAGTAACCATTTTTATTGTGTAGATTGCAGCATTGCCCAGAGGTGATCAGGTAGTTTATGGTTTGCATCTCATTTTGTCTCTGTCTTCTCGGAGATGTTTGGTTACTGGGGGATACCTTAATTGCTTCTGCATGTGTTGTATCTGTGCCAGTAGTGTCCTATGTTTCATTACCTAGCCAAGTTCTTTATTTCTGTGTAGCACTCGTGTCTACTGTAAACATCACATAAAGCCAAGCTACCATGTGCTATGTTCCAAGTTTGTCTTTAAAATCTTGGTGCAACTCCAGGTTGTTCTAGTGAACAACTGAGTATTAACTCAGTTTTTACTATGCATCATCACAGTTTTGCTTTACTTCTTTAAGATGCTTCACACATTTGCAATTGCTTTAATTTCAAAGTCTAATTGTAGTTGTTACTTTATTTAGGTGCCAACATAGATGGAATCCATTCTCGAGTTAAGTAAAGCCTTAGAAGAGAACAAATGGTTGCCATTTAGTGCCAAGTAGTTTTCAGCACATACTCAGTGGAAAATCCTATGTTAATTAATGTTATTTATTTATTTATGTGTCGTGTGACAGGGACAGAGACAGCAGCATAGCAATCCTCTTATAATACATAGCTTGAGCTCACTGGTGCATGCAGAAAGGATGTAGGAAAAACATTCTTCTCCCCCCGCAAAGAACATTGTCCAGATCATCTGCTTTTCCCAACTAATGTGCTGCACTGATGGGGCACCGCAGGATTTAGCACCTATTATTAGTAAGGGTCCAGTTTACTCCAGTGAGACTTGGATACGGCCTTAAGTAAGATGAACTGCTGCTTTGAAACCAAATACAGTGTTTCTTGATTGAAAAAGGCACTGAGTTCAGTTGAGCAGCTTTTAAGTGGCACATTGGTGCATTATTGGCATGGGGAAAAAAAGAGAAGGGGAGAAAAAGTAGTTCCAGCCCTAGCTGTACTAGCAAAATAGGCAAATAATGTTTGTGATGTCCTCCCCAGCCAGTCACGAAGAATCCATAGTCTGGGTCCACATGACAAAGCAATGCTATCTGGCATTGAACAGGCAACCATCCCTCTTTTAAATATCACATCCTTTGTCTATATGACCTATCCCTCCAGCCATCAGAGAAAATTAGAGAGAAGAGAAGAGAAGAAAAGAAAAGGAAACATCCACAAGATGAATGAGAGATTAAAGACAGCGTGAGCTTCCGCAGAAATGCTGCCTGAATGAACTAGTGCTTCATATTCAACAACTCTACCATGAATTAATCATGTAAGGGCAAATTCTTACTCCCTCACTTATGATAAATAGTACCTTACTCCACAAGTTGCCTCATGTATGTCTAGGGCTATTTGTGGTGTAAAGTACTATTTAACATGGCAAAGTAATAAGAAATTAGCCCATTAACTTAAGAATCTCACTACAATATTGAAATATATGGAATTTCATATATGGAATTAGATTCCTGTACCACAATCCCATGCTAACATGTAACTTTTGCCATGTTTCCAATATGTGCATCTTTGTTAACTTTGGGGCATTCTAATACTCAATACACAAAGACATTTAAGCACATGAGATTGTCTTCAAATTGGACACATACCCATACATTATTATCATTTGTTAAGCATTGACAGTATGTTCAGCTTTGTACAAGACACAAAGGTGATAGGGTTCCCATCTAAAATAGTTTACAGTCCAAGCCTGACAGAAAAGACATGAGGCACTGGGAAATACTGGGAAGGAAATTAATCTGGAATTCCTCCCACGGCATATTTATTAACTGACTTTTTGTGGGCAGTATCCTATATTGGAATCAGGCAGAGTGTTTGTTTTTCCAAAATATGTTAGCTCTCCTTCATACCTCACTGACTGTATCTGTTTAAGTAATGGGCTTTACTTAACATAAATTACAACCCAATCCTTTAACTTTATTGTGCCTTTATTTCCTGAAATGTAATAGTTCCCTAATTTTTTTGTTGGTTATAAGAGATCAGGTTTTCACAACAGGGATTTCATACTACCACAGGAGCTGCAAAAGCCCTGCTTTCATTTAGTATTGTGACCATGATTTTAAACCAAACAATTAAGAAAACTTCAAAATTAAGGCTGTCATGTCCATCTCTGATTTTATTGAGGTAGTGGAGCACATGATGAGCAAAATTATAGATTCAAGCTAGGATTGAGGGGAAAGTGGTAGTACTGTACTTCCATTATCTCAGAATAGCTTGAGGTTTCTCTTAAAACAATTAGCAGTGTGATATTTATTGTGAATAAATTTTCAGGATTTTCATTTGGAACCACATACGTGTAACCTCCCCTTTGGAGTTTGTCAGCTCTTGAGACATTGGACGGAGCCTCTTGGAGACCTACGCTATAGATTACAACAACAATGGTTCCAAAGACTTCAGAAACCATTTCCCAATCTGCTTAGAGTCTGAGTTAGGGATGGAATAAACTTGACACTCCACAAAAGCCAATGGGGAGTTTTTCATGGGATGATTTATACAGACAGTTTTCTGAACCAATGAGGAGCCAGGGCTGCTCAATCCCTCAGTGGCAGGAGACAGGCTGTCCCAGAAACAAAGAGACTAGATTTAGATTCACATAAGAGCATACATCAGAACATAAGAGCAGCCATACTGGGCAAGGCCAATGTTCTATCTAGCCCAGTATCCTGTCTTCTGACACTGGCCAATGCCAGGTGCTTCAGAGGGAATGAACAGAACAGATAACCATCGAGTCATCCGTCCCCTGTCATACACTCCCAGCTTCTGGCAGTCAGAGGTTAGGGATATCCAGAGCATGGGGATGCATCCATGATCATCTTGGCTAATAGCCATTGATGGACCTATCCTCCATGAATTTATCTAATTCTTTTTTTAACCCTATTATAGTTTTAGCCTTCACAACAGCCGCTACCAAAGAGTTCCACAGGTTGACTGTGTATTGTGTGAAGAAGTACTTCTTTTTATTTGTTTTAAACCTGCTGCCTATTAATTTCATAGGGTGACCTCTGGTTCTTGTGTTATGTGAAAGAGAAAATAACTCTTCCTTATTCACTGTCTCCACACCATTAATGATTTTATAAACCTCTATCATATCCCCCCTTATTCATCTCTTTTAGAGTTGAACAATCCCAGTCTTTTTAATCTCTCCTCATTTTTGTTGTCCTTCTTTGTACCTTTTCCAAATCTAATATAACTTTTTTTGAGATGGGGCAAACAGAACTACATGCAGTATGCCAGGTGTGGGGAATACCGTGGATTTATACAGTGACATTATGCTATTTTCTGTTTTGTTATAACAAATAGATAGATAATTATGCATCCCTTTCCTAATGGTTCCTAATATTTAGTTAGCTTTTTTGACTGCTACTGCACACTGAGCAGATGTTCTCAGAGAACTATCCACAATGACTCTAAGATCTCTTTCTTCATTGTGGATAATTTAGATCCCATGATTTTTCATATATAGTTTGCATCCCTTTGGAGCTGTTTGAGTTTGGAGGTGGGAGAGAAGCAGCTTGGCCTGGGGAGGCTTTGCTTAGCTCCTGATCCCCACAAAAAGAGACTTTGGACTGCTGGGATCTAGTGCATGACTGGATGGTTCCAGCCTGGTAGAGACCAGCCTCCAGGGAGGCAGAGAACCAACCTCATGCCAGCTATTGAGACCCGGCTGAGACCTCACAGGGCTCCAGACCAGAGAGCCAGGGGAAGGCCCTGCTCCACCCAGGAGTGAAAACACTGTAAGCTGGCCCTAAAGGGTTATTTAAGTTGGCCAATCTTTGCAGAATTGCTACATCCATCTCCAGATTCATCCTAGGCATTTCATCTGCCTGGGAAAGTGCTGGGGAGGGAGCTGGGGTTTGTGGTACAATTGTGAATGTTGGGACATGGGGAATTTGTTATATTCTTGATGTTTGAGCCTTTTAGTTACTCTTAGCCCTTTCCTTCCCTAGATCCTCTGTTTCTGGTCCCCAGTGAAGTCCCACTTTGTTATTGTTGGGTGTGGGATTTCATTGGTTGCGGTTTGTATTATTGTATTTTGTTTCTTTTGTACTGGGTCATACGGGGTCATAAGAGCAGTAGAATTAGTTATTTTCCCATGAGCCAGTACTCCTCATGTCCCAGACACAGAGAGGAGTCACCTTAGCTGGAGTTACCAGGTGCCACAACAAAGAACCCAGGCCCCAACCCATGTGTGGTGTGGGGAGAAGCCACTTGGTTAGCAAGCATGCAGGAGGAAGCTTGAACCCTGTCCTGGGAGAGGGATTACATGAGGAAGACAGATGCAGCCACTCACCATGGAATCATCCCCAGTGGATGTTCAATCAGAAATTTGTTTGTGAGTTAATGCTGGTTCAGACTGTATTAACTCCCACTGGGATCCTCCAAAGCTGCTAATTTGAAGTCACCATGTAGAAATTAATCCAGTGGTAGGACAGCTCCTGCAGTAGCCATACTATTGGGGATGAAAAGTAGGGGAAATCAGTCAAACAATGCTACAAAGATGTCATTCATCCATGTAGATTTCTCTACATATGCAATACAGAGACGTCCCTTCCATGCAGCCTAGGACCTGCAGTCTTGAGAAGTCAGATCCCAAGGCTTTTCTGCATCTCCAAAACCAGTCTATAAAGCTTGGAAATTCCCTCCTTTCTCCTTCCCTCCCTGTTTTGTTTTGTTTCCTTGGCATAGGAGAAATAATCCTTTCACAACATTTCATTTGGAACCATTATCATCTATTATGTATCTATTTACATATGGTTAGATTGAATAGCCCTCCCACCGGTTTGTACTAGGAGTGGTGCAGAGCCCCATTGCCTGGGAGAAGCTCTGAAGATTATAACTTGTCATATGTCTTCACTGCAGAGTTAGTGTAGGCTCTTATTTGAGTGGTGCCTCCTTCCCATTCACACACATAGCTCTCTTACTTGAGCTTAGCTGAAGCTTTTGACCTGGGCTAGCTGGTACAGTGGGGGTGTAAGTTAAAGATTGGGTTCCACTCCATTCGGGCTGGTAAGCTGTCCACTTTGCAGTCAGGACACAGGGTGAGGGCTGATAATCCTCCACTGCCTTCCTACAATTCCCCCTGTGTTCCCAGAAGGGCAGACAAGTTATCCCACAATTCACTGGGAAGGAACATGCAGCGGCTCAGTTTACTGAAGTGTTAGAAATCATGGGACATGCTCCCACAAATCCTAGCAAAACCCACGAGGGAGTGCAGCACTAGAGAGGACACAGTAATTCAGGTAGGGCTTTGCAGTATGGCTGCTTACACCCAGACTAGGGCAACCCAGCGAAATGTGCAGAGAAGACATACATCAGAGGTACAATCCCTGCCATACACAATAACGTGCTTTCTGTAGCCTGCCTTTGGATTTTACAGTGTGAAGCCCAAAGCCAAGAGCTGGTGCACGAAGAGTCAGGAGTATCTCCCCCCAACCCCTCCTTGGATTGATTTGTGGACCCTAGAATACAAGAAGGAGAAATCCCCTTGATAGAAAGGTCTGATTTACTTGATAAATTACCAGCATCTCAGAATTTAACATTGATAACTTTAGACCTGCTACTTAGAGCCTGGAGACTTGCCCAAGAGTAGTGTGTTCAGAAAAAGAAGTGTTCAGAACATTTGTAAATGATAGATTGTTTTTAATAAATAATATGCAGGAGACTAAAATCATGAAAGGTTCATGGAATAGCATATTGGGAAAAAAAAGTTATCTTCAACTGTTTAGCCACTCACTCAGGATTCAATCCTGCAGATAGCCAAGCAATCCCCTGAGAGGCTGAAGGCCAAACTTTTAATGGTATTTATGCACCTAAAGATGCAGATAGCACCTAGTGAGATTTTCAAAGTCCCAAAGTGCCTAACTCTCATTGAAATCAATGGAAGTTAGGGATCTAATGGGATTTTGAAAATCCTATCTGCATTTTAGCAGCCCAAATACCTTTAAAAGTCTGGCCCTGAGTGCTTTAGCTCCTGTTGACTTCAGAGAGGGTTGATCAGCAACTTCACGAAATGCTTGGTACCTTGCAGGATTGAGCCCTTGGCATAGGATTCTACAAGTCCCTGGTAAATAGAATTCCATGTGAGTTCTAGATGTGGAAGGTTTACTGGATCAAGCCTTTCCCTTTCAAACACCAGAAACTTCTGAAATGTGATAAACAGTAAAACCCCATTCTACAATAACACCCATTTCCCCCCTGCTTGGGGAGCAAAAAACAAAACCATGGGAAAAATGAAGTTTGGGTATATGGATGATCAGTGCATGTCAGTGCAATGGAGTGGCCAATTTAAAATAAAAAGGTAGCCTAACACAGGTTCCTGAGTCCATATATAAATATATTAATTAGCCTGATTTTCAGCAGTGTTGAATACCCAACAGCTCCCACAAACTTCTATAAGAGTCTGTTGGATGCTCAGTACCTTTGAACATCGGGACAATTGTTTAGGTGTCTAAAAATGGATTTAGGAGCCCAATTTTAGGCACTTATTTCTGAAAATCTTGGTCTGGACTCTGGTTGAGAGAGTCATATTTGACAGAGAATACAGGGCTTGACTTTATTTATTTTGAATCAAATAATTAATAAAAACATAATTTGTGATGAATTTGTATTTCAGGTTTCAGCCCAGAATCAAATTTATGGCTGAGTTATATTCCACTCCCCTCTCTCTGAAAACTGGAGATTTAAACAGGAACACTGAGGGATGTGGGAACTTTTGGGGACTACCCAACACCAGTGAGGGACTCTGTCACTGCTTGTCCTATAATCTGGGGGGTCTTTATGCTGTGCAGCTATGGCTCAGATCCGTGACACCAGTAACTAACCCACAAGTACAAGGTCTCGGCCTCGCTCTCTCCAGTCCAGTTACTCCTTGCAGGGTGACACCAGCAGCCCTTCCAGTCCCGAGTCTCCCCAAATATGGCGTCAGAGAGTTGAACCATAACTGCATAGCACAAAGGCCTACAAAGTTACAGAGCAAGCAGTGACAGAACCCCTCACTGGTCTGGGTGGACCCCAAAATGTCACAGGTGTTACTACCTACCACTTTGCTGCAGCGCTATAGCATCCAGTTGGAAGACTTACTATCCAGACACCTATATGATGCAGTTTTAAAGAGCAATGCAACAAGACAGTTAGCCTTTCTTAGCAACACTAGTTGGTTGTTCTGTTGGTAATCAGGACATTCATGAACTTCACTGATGTTCAATAGAGTACAGTCTTTTTCCTCTAAACTTTGTATTATTCTTTGCTCTTACTATTCATCCCCAGTGTGTTGCATTTCATTTTCATACAAAGAACAGGGAAGATGAAATCTCTCATAAATCTATTATAAAAAGCTTTCCAGTATTGTCTGCCTATTTGAATTATGTTCTGGATACATACCATTTTTCAAAACAAATCATGTAAAACTTAGATTACATCAACTGGATAATGACTTTTCAGTTGTTTCCATCAGTATCTGGGATTTTCAGTTTTGATAGATTTATAGTTCTATTTCTTTGTATTTATGTCAGTCCTTTACAATGCATTTAAATTGGAGTATAGAAAAAATGCTTCAGACAAAAGCCAAATATCCAATATTTAGCTACCAAAGAATCAAAAAAGCTCCATTCTCACTAAATTGCAAAGTTCAATATAATTTCTGGTAATAAAGAATAAAGATTCCATTGGAAGTCCTTTAAAAAGCAAGGCCCTGAAATTCAGATGATATGTAGAAAAATTCAGGTTCACAAATGAGCCACCAGGTTGGAGTTCAGAACTCTCACTATTTATCCAGCTATAGATACTCTGATATTCTGATTTTAATTTCAGGAACAAACTTTCATCACTGAGTCTTGGCTTTATGTAAAAATGAATCATCTCTCTGGATTTTCACAAGCATTTTAAGTGAGAGCAACGATCCTTTATGGACATTCAAAGTCTGCTGCTTTTCCCCAAATCTTCCTGCCCAAACTTCCATCCCTATTGCTAATGGCCATATCCCCCCCACTGCAGAATAAAGAGACAGCTTCCTCTGAGGCCACTAGTAGAGCTGATACATGAATCTATCACTACCTTGGTTAGAATCATTTTCTTCCCCCAAATCCCCAGTGCCAATGCTGTCTGATCTCTACAGGATTTTGGAAGAGGAAGCCCTTTATTGATTTCAAACACATGTCTCCAGAAATCATAGCATGTGTTGCCACCAAGACAAGACAAGTAATTTAATGGACTAAAGGGAAGGATTCACTGGAACAAATTCTGTCATGATTGTTTATTTAGAACCTGTATGCACTTGTATAAACATTTCTTGTTTCTCCTGAGATTTCTGTTTGGTAGTTTTTTGAAGGAAGAGGACCCTATTCCTGACATTAAACCACTTCTGGTAATTTTTCCTTGACTTATTTTTAATTTTGTAAACCCACCAAGATGAAAATTTCTGTATAAAATATGACAGGATTATTTTAAAATGTTCAGAAGCTGAGAAAATCCACCCAGGTCTTAACTTTTAGGGCTTTTTCCAAGCTTGGAAGCCAAAGGTTAATGTATTTAATATCAATTGATAACTTTAAGCAAAGATTTTAGAGCAGAGAGAAACAAAACGTAACATAAGGTTTAAAAAATGTAAGATAACTAAAAACTGTTTTCAAATTCTTGCTGTGCTCTTTCTGGTGGATTCTATTCAAATCCAATGTAGTACATCACTTAGTAGTAGTAATGAAAAATACTTAGCTCTGGAACTTGTCAAAAATGTCCATCCAAATGAAACTAAAAAAGAAAGGGAAAAATTATGAAAAATTGTTTTATTTTCCAACAAACTCTACTTAGTACTTATATGGCCCTTTTTATCCATAGTTTGAATGGAGGCAAAGGTGATAAAGTATCATTATTGGGCAGGGGTACTGGAACAATTTTTATAGTGGGGGTGCTGAGAGTCACTGAACCAAATTGCAAACCCTGTATATAATGGAAACCACTTCAAGTCAGAGGGTGCTGAAGCATCCCTCCCCACCCCCCACAGCTCTAGTTCCAGCACCTATGTTATTGGTGAGATATTAAAAGGCACTCAGCATTTGTCTAACTCTGCTCCCATTGAGCTCAATATGAGTTTTACAATAGATTCCAATGAGAGCAAAATTAGGCCATTGCCTGAGCACTTTTAAAGTCCCATCCATGGTGTGTAAGAGACATTCTGAACATCAACAATGGAATGCAGAGCGTAGTAAGTGAAGGACCTAATGAAGGCCCAGTATGAGGCCTGAGGCCTGAACCAAACTAAAGTAATGGTCAAGACTTTGCTAACATAAAGCAAAGTTAAGCTGTGAGCAAGAGGCAGGCCCTGCTCACAGAAGCTGGCAAGAAAAGGGCTGATGTTGCATAAATATATATTCACCTCGCATAGTTAAACATGGTACCAAGATACACTATACCGGAACATTCCACAGATAACATGGAACAGGCCGACCCATCCCAATGACAGGGGCAAAAGGGTAAAATGATGGATAGAGTTGTTTTGATCGAACCAACATGTACAAGGTGAGAGGCGGCACCTTGCTATGTAGAGGGGTTGCACCTCAATACGTCAGAGTGATGTGTAAATTGTTTGTACCTGTGTATAAAAATGTATCCCTGGAGTGGTGTCTTTGTCCCGCCTTGGGGGCAGTGGAAAGTCCCGCCACTGAGCCGGGTCCTTGCCAAGAGGCATCTATTAGTAGTATGCCCAGTAGATCAAGTAATCTACGGGGAACTGCAATTGTGTCCGAGATCGCAATAAACCTGGCCGAGGTGCCTTTGTACCTTACGAGACTCTGTGGTCATTGGGGGTTCTCGTCGGGTTTGCTGTGTCAGCTATCTGCGCAGAGCTGGGGCAGCACACAGAGGGAACACATGCACGCAGCCGAGTGATATCAACAGGAGAAAGCAGAAGCACCACACCGGTACCGAGCCTCTGACAACACAGAGAACTACACCTACCTACGAAACAGCTATTTGCTGTAAGACCTCTCCTTGTTGGAGATGGAGGATCTGCCTCAATTCACAAACGGAATTCACAGAAGGAATGACTTCACAAACAAGATTAAAAACCAAAAACCAGAACAAACAAACAAAAAACCTAAACCAGTGACCACAAAAATGTTAAAATAACATAAAAATCCGCCACTCTCATCATCACCCTCTCTCATTACATTTTAGTCTTGATTCTACAATGAATATTACTCAAGGCACAAAATCAAAAGTCTTTTTTCCCCTCCCTTTATTGGCCACCAAAGTATTATAAAATTAGATAAACCTATCAGGAAAAAGGTCACTTACAGGAGAGTTTTCGTTTTGTTCTAACTAGAAGTATTTCAGTCTCCGTGACTGGTTTCTGTTAGGGATGACTGCACTAGATGGATTAATATATCAACAGATTCAAACCACAGCCCAAATCTCAAATTGAACCAAACCTAAACACCCCTCTCAAGAATGAAAACACTTAGCTAAGTACCCCCTTCTTTCTCCAGATCCCCAGAATGTCCCCTCTATTTTTCATACCCCATCTCAGAACCTTACTGGGCTAACAATCTCTGCTGTCTTCAGTGGAGTGGG